CTTTAATAATAATTATTAATAATTATTAACAATTAACAATAATAACTATTATCACCACTACTACATCAGGAAGTAAATAGGGCTGTCCCAATCCCTTGAAAAAGCCGCCAGCAGGAAAGGCAGAGCTGTGCAAATGCTCCCATTCATCCTCCGGCGCTGGGAACCCAGCGCGCCTCGCATCCAATCAGCTTCCAAGTCCCCGGCGCCAGCAGTGGGCGGGGCTCAGATGGATTCGGCTGTCTCCGCGGCTCAGGCTTGGCCACGTTTGACGCCCTGCAGGTCCTTGAAGGTACATAAATCGCCTTTAAATCCCTTGGCAAAGAATTGAGTTCTTATTCCAATTTAAGATAAAGAAAATTGAGCAATTAATTTTTTTTACTCCTGCTATTTATTCGTTTGATTTAGTGTGTTAATTTCTTCTATGGGTAAATAAACTGCCTCCGAGTTTTGCGGATCTGCGAGTTCCCCTCCCCGCGCACGCGCGGGTGAGGAGGAGGGCGGGCCTGTTTCCGGGCGGCGCGTGGGGCGCTAGGCCCAGAGCTGCCCCGGCCGCCGCCAACATGGAGACTCTGTACCGAGTCCCGTTCTTAGTGCTCGAATGTCCCAACCTGAAGCTGAAGAAGCCGCCGTGGGTGCACATGCCGTCGGCCATGACGGTGTACGCTCTGGTGGTGGTGTCGTACTTCCTCATCACCGGAGGTAACTCGGGCTGGCGGGGCCCCGAGAGGCTGCGGCGCGGAAAGCGGACGCGCCCGGGAGGCGAGTCCGTCCCGCTGCTCTCAGCCCTGGGGAAGCATCTCTGTGCCCTCGATCTTTGCGTGAGGTGGAGGGAAGCTCTGGGGTCCCGAGTGGCAACGTCCAGGTTTCTTCGCCTTCACTCCCAGCCCGTGTTCTTACTCCCTTTGCCTTTCCTCTCCGCCAGCCTCTCATCCCAAGGGTCCGAGTCAGATACGTTTTTCAAGCCCAGAATTGCTGCTCTTTGCATTGCTCGCCACGCGTTGTTTGACCAAGGTGCTGGGACAGCCCAGTCTGACCCACTCTACTTCCACGGTCGGTCATGTGCGTGCGGGGCTTTTAACTTGTCTTTGTCTGCGGCCTCTGGAACCTCGGAAGAGACTTGACGGTCTTTATGTTTGTTAGCTCAAAGTCAGGGTCCTGTGTTGCTTTTTGCATCGTCTGCAATAGACAAGAGTGGCATTTTCCGAAGCCACGGTTTGGATCAATATTTGAGATTAGGGATGAGGTTTGCAGAAGAATCTGGGCCAGAAGTTGAGAATTTAAAAAATAAAAATAACATTACTGTGAAACGCTTCTGAATTATCTATCGTCTTACCTTGCCCCTTTCAAATAGAAAATTGCAAAGGGGCGTTTCCTTGCATGTTGGTGAGTTGGCAATGCGACCGCAGGTTTTTCGGAGCCACCACCCTTTCAAGCCACGGCTCTGAGATTTACTCAGGACTGTGCTACTGTACTTTTAGATTTGGGGAAGTTGTGTGCTTAATTTGGGAATTATAAAATTAAAGCTCTACAGATTAGGGACAGCAAAAGTAGTTCTACTTTTAAGGGGAAAGCCATGTAATCATTATTTTTCATACCTGTTTTGTGACAATAGTTGGCACTGAAGAGGGAAGAATCTAAAACTGAGGGGTCTTATCCCTTGCTCCAATCTAAAACAGTGACAGTTATGTTCATTTAAATAAATTGCATTTCAAATATTTTTCAGTTGGCAAGGTACTATTTAGCATTGCATTAGCATTAACATTTGCTCAGCACGTTAATAGCTACTGTATTCTTGAATAAACACAAATTAAAATGCATGTGCTTTTTTTTTTTTTTTTTAAATGAGTAATAGAGTCTTTATCTGCTAGTCACTTTGGTGAAACCCTTACTTCCCTTGGAGCCTGACCCTTCATAAGAAGCCCTAGTTTTCCTTCTGGCCACTTTTTCCCTGTTGATTGGGGAGATTTCTCTGCTCCAACCACTGGGGGAAAATAGAAAGGACACCTTTTAGTGACCAAGTCCATGAAGTATCATGTATGATGAATTGGTTTTGCTTCCGGGAGGAAAGGAGTCTCTTCTAAAAACTGTAGGTGTACTTTTTATAAACAAACAATATTTATTGCTGAGAAATAGTCAGCAAATAGTATTGAGTCCCTGTTACGTTCTAGGCACTAGGTACTGGAGATAATTGAACAAAACATAAGGATTGTGCCCTCTTGAGGCTTATAATGTCAGGGTTGAGACATGTTAAATAGCACATAATTTCTTTCCATTAAAAATTGTCACAAATGCAATGAAGGAAAAGAACAAGAGGTTATGAGAAAATAGTGGGAGTTGGGAGCATCATTGAGTTGGGAATGTGGTTCCTTAGGGAATGACATGTAAGTCAAAATCCGAAGGGTTGGGGGAAAGGGTACGCTAGGCAGAAGGAAAAGTAGGACAAATGTCAGATCTAGAGACCAGTGAGGTGGCTTTTGTAGTTGGCTTAGACTAAACGATATTGATGGCCGTGGAGATGGAGGATAATATAATGAAAAGTATGTTGGAAGTAGATTCAGTAAATCTTGATGGATTCATTGGGTGTAGAGGAAGAATGAAGTGTCAGGGAATCTTACCCATTTCTGATTTGAGCGCTTGAGTAGACGGAAATGTCATTTCTAAGATTGAAGAAATAATGTTTTTGGTGGGAGGTGGTAAACCAGAGGTCACTTGGGGATATAATCAATTGGATATGCCCAATTTGCAGATAGGATTCTAGACCTGTGAAAAGAGGTCTGTGTTGAAGTTGGTCAATTAACGAATGTTTACTGAACTTCCATGAGATATTGAGGAAGATAGACAGAGTCCCTGTTCTTAAGCAGTTTTCCTCCGATGGTGTTAATGTTATTTGAGAGGTCTTGTCACATTGAGAATCTTCAGTGCATAGAATTGAAAGCCCTCAATTTGGAGAGAATGTAGAGACAAAAGGACAACAGACCAAGCCCTGAGGGACGCCAACGTTTAGTGGTTTTATGGAAGAGGAGTCCCAGTAGAGAGGTTGCAAGAAAACATGGAGAGGAGTGTCACAAAAGTCATAAGAAGAGGGTGTTTTTGAAGAAAATGGGTTTAGTAAGCTGGATTGAGTGCTTCTGGGAAGCCTCCTAAGATGAGAACTGAGAAGTGCCCATTGAATGGGACAACAAGGAAGTCATTGGCAACCCGCTAGAGCAGTGTCAGTGGTGGCGGAAGCCAGATTGGAGCGAGTCGAAGACTGAAGGATGGGTAAGTAAGGAAGGGAAGATGGCGAGTTTGCCTAATTTTTTCCAGAAGGAAGCCTGACTCCCTTTCAGAAAGGAAGGATAGAAATAGTATTATTAGCTACGAGGGTCTGAAGTCTGGAGGTGGGGTTGGGGTGGGGGGTTGATGCAGGGAAAGAGAAGTTGAAAATATAGGAGAAAGAACAGATACCCAAAGAAACAGTCCCTGAGAAGGCAAGAGGGAATGGAGTCCTGATAACTGCAGAAGGGATCCCACATTGATAGGAGGAGGGACTCTTCTTTAGTGTAGCTGGAGAGGAGATAGGATGGATGCTGGTACCAGGAGTTTGTAGATTTGGTGGGGAGAAGATGAGGGAACTCCTGTGTGAATGGTTTGTCAGGCTAGGGTGAGGGAGACACAGGCTTGCTTTGCTTGAGAAAAGTGGGAGATGAGGATGTTTGAAAACAGTGGGGAAAGTAAAGAAGTAGATAGATGTTGACGGTAGAGATTGCTGAAACTGTGTTAATGAACATTAATGTTAATGATCGTGACATTATGACATAATGATGAACAATAACATTGTTTACGAATCTCTTGTATTGCTAGTCTGCCTGACGGTGTGATTTTAAATGTCCTTGTTTTCCATTTAAGCAAGAATATTTCTCTCGTTAACCTTTCCATTTATAGAAACAAATCCAAGCATGTGTGGACCATTTTCTCGAACTGAGATACAGCCGTTAATGCTAAATCTCCTTTATTGTAGAATCATTCTTGAGTATGAGCAACTGTTAATGAATTTCCTTTATGAAATTTTGTACTCCTTTTAGAGATAACATTGTTTTAGAAGTAATTCTAAAACACTGAGTATACTGTCTGAATGGCTTATTGGAAGCTTAGATTAGCTGAACCTCATTTGATTATAATTATGCAATCAAAGCACTCCTATTTAGAAGCAAATGAACATTTAGAGACAATGAAAACTATAATCCTATTTTTAAAAATTAGGAATCCAATCTAATTTTCTCTATTGTCTTTCATTTAGGAATAATCTATGACGTCATTGTCGAACCTCCAAGTGTCGGCTCTATGACCGATGAACATGGGCATCAGAGGCCAGTAGCTTTCTTGGCCTACAGGTAAAAACAGCTTTTTGAGTGATTTGGTAGCAGGAAAGAGGGTTGGGGTATGCCTGCTTATTTAAAAATGCAGTAAAACCTATGAGATCCATCCGTATTTAGACAAAAGCTGTTTTAAAATGCTGGATTCTGAAATGCCGGGAAGTGGGGCAAGAGCAAGAGTAGAAGTATATTATTTATTCATTTATTAGGAAATAAATTATTTCACAGTGACTGATGTATCACCAATTTAAAGGAGGGTGTCAATTTAAAATACATTTATAAACTATTCTGGGGGTCAGCAGACTATAGCCACTTTTTTTTGTAAATAAAGTTTTATTGAAATCAGACATGCCCATTTGTGTCTGTATAGTCTATGGCTGCTTTCAAGGTGTAGTAGCTGAGTTGAGTAAGTGTGACCCAGGCCATATGGCCTGCAGCACTAAGATTTTTACTATGTG